TGAACCTCGCCATCTCTGATCTCCTTTTTGTTTTCTCCCTCCCCTTCTTGGTTCATTATTCCATCAGCAGCCAGTGGACTTTTGGAAATGCAGTGTGTAAAATCGTCAGCTCAACTTACTTCATTGGTTTCTACAGCAGCACCTTCTTCATAACCATCATGAGCATTGACAGGTACTTGGCCATAGTCCGGTCTGTCTATGCCCTACAGGTTCGAACAACTACCTATGGGGTTATCAGCAGCCTGGTCATTTGGGCAATTGCTATTTTAGCATCAGCACCAGAAATAATTTTTTTCCAGGAAATCAATGACAATAACCAGACTAAGTGCGTCCCTCACTATCCTGACAGCAAAAATGGCTGGAAGACTTTCAGTAATTTTGAAGTCAATGTCCTAGGTTGGTTGATCCCTGTTGGCATCCTCCTCTTCTGCTACCACGGCATCTTGAAAAACCTGCAGAAGTGCCATACTCAGAACAAGTACAAAGCAATTAAACTGGTTTTTGTTGTTGTCATTGTGTTCTTCCTCTTCTGGACCCCCATCAACATTGTGCTTTTTATGGACTCTCTGAGGAACATGCACATCATTGATGACTGCCTGACAAGCCAAAGGCTAGACCTAGCCTTGGAGCTGACTGAGGCACTCTCTTTTATCCACTGCTGCCTCAACCCGGTCATCTATGCCTTTGTTGGTGAGAAGTTCAAGAAGTATCTTCATGAAGCTTTCAGAAAATACGTGCGTTTTCTGTTGATCTGCAAAGACCACCGTGTTTTTGAAGGGCGCCGTCTGGACAAGCACTCCTCTCTGAATGTGACGTCCTCACAGTCATCTTTTCTTGGCAGTGTCTTGTAAAGCTACAAGTAAAAATTTTAATCCCAAACGGGCTACCTGAAGTTGAGAAATCCTCCCAGTGGCACATTCACAGGGATGCACTCCTTGGGCAACCTTTTAGGACAGGGAAAGTGAAAGCAGCTGCTTGGACTTGCATTTCTTATACTTGCCTTTGGCGTTCTTAATTTTTGTGTCTTTTTTAGCATCTTCCTCTCTTTTCCCCTGGTATGTCCTGCCCTGCCTGCTTTTTGAAAGGGAGGCTGAAATTACCAGCAGACTCCCAGACTGCTGGAGCAGCATGGGGAGGTGCCTTAAAAACATTTCTTCTCCCACCTCAGATGCAGTGCTGAAAGGAACTGTTTCCAAACTTGGGACACTTGACCACTCCTTCCCTTACCTCAGCAGAGTGGATTTGCTTCATAGGCAAGGACGGGGCCCACAGCGGGAGCGGGAATCTGCTTTTTCAAAGGAAACGGTTCCAAAATTTAGGGCATCATGCCAGAATCTGCCTCCCAGCTGACAGATCTGAGCAAGGTTTCCAGCCCACAAAGAGCTTTGTGAATGAACAATTAGATAAGCAACAAAGAAATAAATGCTATGCATGTGTTCTGTCAAAATCAATGTGGATGAATATCTAGGTATGATCCTTACTCCCTATCTGCTACCAAGCCTGCAGCTTCTGGGCTGGAAGGGTTTGTAAGTCATTGCCTAGAAATTACACTGTAGGTGTCAAAAAAACCGCCTTCTGGAAATGAACCAGTGCTCTAAAGATGAGTGGGGAAACAGTTACCAGGTAAAAACGGCTGAGTGGAAAAAAATACTGAGCGTGAGCTGAGAGAACAGTAAAAGTGTTGAAGCTTCGTGTGGACCCAGTGGCTGTAAAGCCACAGACCAGGGGTTGGCTGCTCTCAGCAGAGCCCTGACCTTGCTGGCCGAGGGGCTGACTGTTCTGCAAATGCCCAACACAGGATGGAGTGAGACACAAACCTGTGCATTACCACGTACCAAACATCCTGTAACTCAGGTATTATCTAAAACGGACATCAGTGGGTGGTTTGAGTGGCCAGGAGCTCCAGAGATGCCCACAAGGGAACTTTTTTAACACTCTAAGCAACTGATGTGCCAGTGTGGTCTCTGCTCTTGAGCATAAACCTATGAGTGGCCTCCCAGTTACTGTTCCACGTTATTTGGTAACTGTGAATGTCTTACGTATATGCACATGGTTACCCATGCCTATACATATAGATGTACCTATACATACATATATATACATGCACAAGTGTTTGTATATACACATGCACATACATGCATATACATCTATCTTTTTATATATACAAATGTTGATAGATAAATGTGATGCTGTTCTGAACCTTTTAGTCCTGATCTATTTCTCCCTACAATATGTCCCCATATTTGAATTATTGTAATAAAGATACTCCCTGCAATGTAATTATAGTATCCTAGGAACTATTTGCTCATTAATTCTTTCAACTTGTGCATCTTCTTCTGTCCTGGGCAGTTCTACAAAACTGATGATCCCTCCAGCTGCCTCTTCTCTCCCTCTTCTCTCTCCCTCCCTCTTCCTCCTCCCCTGGGAAAAAGAAGCGGAGAGTAGATTATCTTTTATTCTATTTAATTTCCTGTAAGAGTCTGCTCTTGTAGTGTTTCCATAAATACTCTGTACCTTTGGGCTTACTTCCTAGAGCAGAGCCGAACAAAACAAAAAAACAGTTATTTTAAACCACCAATCTTCTTCAGATAGGATTTACTATTTCAATGTGTATTTGCAGTCTGCAAGGTACAATCTTTTGCAAGAACGGGCCAGTAACAGAGTATGTAAGAAATACATGCTGTCTCATGTGGGCCATGACAGACATTCTCCAAATTGTAAAGCAAAGTCTGTGACCAGAGGAAAAGCTTCAGCTGCTGCCTAGGTTCCAGCAGCAATATTTGCAGCCAGGCACAGCAGTACAGCCCCTACCTTTCAGGTGAGTTACTACCCTTGGACAACCAGGGTTGTTGTTGGTTTTTTGTATATGAAAACACTCCGTTGCTCTAGAAAGGGATTCATAAAAATTCAGGACAAAGGCAAAGTGTGGTGGGGAGTAGGACAGCACCGGCTGCCTCCCTCCCCTGCAGATTCATGGTGTGAGCCCCCACGGTCAGAGCTTGCTCAGCTGAAGCGCAAAAGATGGGAACGATTTCTGCAGCCTTGTCCTGCAGCTCTTGTGCGTTGGGACAGGTGCTGGAGCCCATCTGCCCGAGCTGGCAGGAGGATGGGCCTTTCCCTGGCACTGCTGAGCATCTCCACTAGCGGGTATCTCCCTCTTTTCAGAGGTTTCATTGATTGCTGTGTCACTCTAGGGGAGAGGCTTCCCAACAAGAGCTGTAACCCTGAGTGTAAACGTGCAGACCCTTATTCGCAGAGTTTTTCACTTCTCTAGTTCTCACTGGGGTCTAGTGGAGGCATCTTCCCACTGGTGCTGCCACAGCACCATTTGCAAAGCCTTGCAGTGGGGAGGTGGGGGACGGTTTTTGCGGCTCAAAGGATTTCCTGCCAGAGGCAGCCACTTTCCTCCATCGCAGCAGCAACAACAGGAGCCCCGAGCTGGACCTGACCTCAACTCCTCCTCACAGCTTTGGGCTGCTACTGCTGCCTTCCTGTGCTAAGAGAGACCCACATCCGGAGGCTTCAGGGCTGGCAGGACATGCCCTCTATCACTGCAGGCACTCAGGAGCATCCCTGCAGGTCTCGGAGCTTCTCTCTTTTCTGAAGGAATAAGCCTGGGAGCAGTGTGCTGCCCTGCCAGTGGCTGTGAGAGCACTGAGAGCACAGGAGAAAAGGAGGCAACTTCCTGTGTCTCTGCAAGCTGCTGGGCAGCTAGAGAGTAAGGACAAATTTTAGGGTCATCTCAAGAGCTAGAAGCACAAGAAGTACCCAGCTTTTTCTGGCATTATGCTTAAGCTTCCTTCCCTAGGCAACATAGAGACAACACTAATGAAATCCTTTACAGTCACTCTAGGCAGTCTAGGGATGAGGATAGGAGCTTCTGAATTGATCCTTTCTAGAGGAGTCCTCCCAGCCAGAAGCACAACTCTGCTTCTTTCTGCTGTGGTAGCATCCTGCTACACCCAGTGGTCAGAACCTCTTAAAAGTTTTATGAGGGGGGAAAAAAAAGCAAGATTAATGAAGAGTATTTGTGTCCCACACCTCTCTTGGCTGAATGATGCTCCTGCACAGGGATGGGACTGCATTAGCAAACACAAACCTCACAAAGCCCCTGGTAATTGTATCATGCCCAGAATATTCCTGGTTTATTTTCAGCCTCTTGAAAACACTGATTTAGTATATCAGTTGTGAAGCACTATGGAAATTACTGACTTTGCCAGGAGAGGATCCAGAAAGGATCATGACAGAAAAAAAAATAAACATGACTTTAGGCATTCTGTCTGGATGTAAAAAAGTTGGGGAAATTGAAAGATAATTATATCATTAGCCTGAAGATGCCCATTTCGACTGTAACATGATGGCTGGCATGTGGATTTTTTGGGTAATATTTGTACCTCAAAGGCAGCAAGTAATGCTGGGCAAAGCTCCTGCTGTACTTCACCAGTTCTGACGCACGGCTTCTGAGCAGTGTGCTCTGTGTGTCCTTGCACTTCTGCTTAACTCTATTTCTGCTGACCCGGCTGAAATGCCAAAATATACAGAGGCAGGGCACAGAAATCCCCCCCCCCCTCAGAACAGCAGTAGTGTGATTTGAGTTGCCACAGACTCTGCTGATGAAAGTATCTGCTGGGACGTTGTTCAGACCCAATGTCGCTCTTGTCTCGTGGGTGGTTGGGATTGTCCATGTAGGTCTGACGTGCTTTCCAGCAGTCAGTGCAGCCAGTGCAACCCTGACATCAGCAGCTGTGTCAGACTTGGCACACAGGGTGAGTTATGTGCCAGAGAAGAGTACTACCAAGCAAACAGAAATGTCTGCTGTGTTACCTCAGTAAATATTGGTTTTCCATACTCTGGTATCCACACAGACTTCCCACTAACATTAATGAAGGTGTGACATGTGCATGCATGTCTGTATCACCAAGATATTTATCCCCTTTTTCACTTGGTACTCTGAGGATTCTCAGGCTCCATAATCTTCCACATGCTTGTGTTTAGAGAAGGTAGAGCTCGTGAATTTTGAGAGAGAAGGGCACTCAAGCACAACAACCAGCTGAGGTCTTCATGCCACATCTGTCCACCATCATCTGCCTAGATATCCATGCCTGTTGTAGAGGCACAGGTTCAGGAGGGGTTTGAGAACAAAGCTATCATACCTTCAGTGGTCCATGATTTTCTCCTTTCTTTACAGAAAAAGCAAACCCAGGCTGTTAACCAATGAAGTGCAGAAAGCTGACCATTTCTCAAAGCATGAACCATTTAATGACCCATACTTGGAGGTAAATGTTATCTTCCCAGGAAATGTGAGCACAGTGTCAAGGTGTGTGTTGCTCATGTGAAATGATCTGCTGAGGTGAAGCATGGCCAGAGCTTTAGTTCTGCCAAAGGGAGACAACACACTGGGAAATAGAGCGGAGCAGAAGGTCTCTGCTCATCCCCCCATTTCCTAACATCTCAGCAGCATGTGCATACACTCATCTTCTGTTTCAGAGACACCATAGTCCTCTCTGAAGTGTCATAGCTGTCATGGAGGAACAACACCAGCCTGACTCATTCACAGAATCACAGAATCCTAGGGGTTGGAAGGGGCCTCGAAAGATCATCTAGTCCAACCCCCCCTGCCAGAGCAGGATCACCCAGAGCACATCACACAGGAACGCGTCCAGGTGGGTTTTGAATGTCTCCAGTGAAGGAGACTCCACAGCCTTTCTGGGCACCCTGTTCCAGTGCTCTGTCACTGAACTAGACCTCTGATGCTGACCCTATTAACAGATGAGTATGGAGGCTGCTTCAGGAAAAAAAATAAAAATCATATACACATTTCAGTATCTGTCTCTTAACCCAACACCCAGAC